ATGACTTAAATCATTAAACAGGATTAGGCCCATTAACACAAGCCCAGTTACAAGATAAGTTAAACATAAGAATGGGCTAATAAGAAATCTTATCAGCCGAACATAACTCTAACATTCTAACAGTTTAGCTAAAATAGGAGCAAGACTAAAAAATCTGTACAGCAATAGGCTTCCCCCCTTGTAATTTTTCTCTTTAGCTGTTTGGGTTTCTTGTGCAGTACATCTGCTCATGTACTTCATGCTGCTTTAATGAAATCTGGTTAACCTTTTCTCAAAAACAAAAAAAAAAAAGATTCATGTAACGAACCACATATAGTTGGGACAAGGTTTAGATGATGATAATGGTGGATGAAAGGCATTACAAGTTCAATTACTAAAAACTAATTTGAGCTTGTATTTTTTGCATACACTATTCATAACATTTGGAGCTCCTCTATGACTTTGTTTGGAATGCATGGTCAAGAGATGATTCTTGAGGCAGTGGATTTCAAGGAGATATGCCTTTGATAAAAGACCTTACGGAACTTTTTTTATCAGTAACTGATCAAAGAGAATATTATTAATGAAGAATTAAGAAGTACAAATAGTAACAGTTGCTTGTCTGAGGACAGCCAGAAACTCCTTAACTTACAAATCTTCCCTAAAAATATAGTGTCATCTACCTCCTTGATTGGCAACCTTATGTAACACTATGCTGCATGAATATTGTAGTAATTGTGGAAAGAACAGAGTACAAGGGGTTTTGATGGTCAAGTTTCCTTCCCCATGCTCTCAAGGACAAGGAACTCCCTTTACTTATTTTCTGGGTCTCAGAGCTTAAGAACTTAAGGGGGTAAGTCTTAATGATCTGCTAAGATATGGTACCATCATTATTCAAATATACCTTTTGCGACATCAGGTGAGGCAGATTATGGATTATCTGTTCAACCAAGAGATCAAATTGAATGCCAAAGGTAGCCCTCACAGCAACCACAGCTCAAAGTAAGGAGGGTGTTTACATATCAAGATGGCTCCATTATTTGGGTTTCTTGGAACTTAGTTCATGACCCTAATGAAGATGGTGCTACCATTGGGCTTGAGGATCACCACGGAGGACTTTGGACCTTTGCTAGTCAACAGGGGACTCAAGAAACACTATCAAATGGGAGGGAGAGGGGGAGATGGTGTTAGTAGAGAGGGATTGTGCAGTAGCAGTTCCATGCCATTGCAAAAGCCTCTTCGGGTTTTTTGTTGTTTGTACTTTCTTCTCATATACTTGTATGATAAATTACAAACTCAGTTAAATATAAATGCAACCTAAGTGAAGTTGGGTTGGTATGTATTTAAATCAGGCTAGAAATGAGTGCTTACCCCCCACACCCACCACATGGGATAAAAAATCCTTTTTCCATCAATTATCAATATTTCTATCTGATGTTTCAAAACCCAGGCCAATATAGATTGTTTCACCACTGACCCAGGAACTGAAGCCTTTCCTAGGTTGTTTTCAATTCCCCATGTTATGATTCCTGTAAGTTGACATAAAACATTAAAACCTAGATAATTGACAATATGCTGCATCCTCATTTGTCAGTCATATTAAAACAGTAACGTTGAATAATTGAAATAATCAAGAAAAACAGACTTTCTTTCCAGGAAAGGAGAACATAGCAGATAGAAACCTTACCAGTAACCAGAGGCAAGCAGCTTTCCCCCAATAACTTTTGGTGGTGTACCCCATATAGGTGCCTTAGGATTCTTTTTAAAAATATGCTTTTGCTTGTTAGCTCCTCTAAAGACCCGATACCTGTGTGTTTGTGGCCAAACTCAATGTCAGGAGTTGTCTTAATACAAGTACTGAGGTAATTCCGTGGTTGTGATGATATGATGGATTTACCCAATCAGAAATACCAAGCAATTTGCAACAACAGCAGCTTTTGTCAGCTCCACTTTGTTGCTCAATAGCCACCAACCCTACACAGATGACAAAAAGTTATCAACCATATGAAGAATTTAATAAAAAGGATAAAGCTGCATTATGAATATAGACCAAGTTATCAGCTTTGTACCTCTGAATAAAAAAAGGTAAGTTCTAAAAGTTTTTATAAACAAAAAAACAGTCACAAGGGTTTTTACTTTTTATTATGTCATTTTTATTCAATACCATTGGTCTTCACAATTTTTTTCCTCTGGTTTCTTGCAAATCTTTATTGTGTTTTCTCAAGGGTTTTACCTTTTTCTATTTACTGTTTTCCCATTTGGCTCCATTTGGGAAGGGTGTAAATACAAATATGTTCAGTGCAAATACAAATTTTGTCATTTGCATGAAGTATGCATATTTGTATTTGCACTCTTCCCAAACAGAGCATTTGTAACCCATTATAGACTCCGTAGTCTGTACTACAAGTTTCTGAAGATCTAACACCAATGTTACAACTTACAACCCAACTCTAGTGCACATGCATCCCCTACAAGTTGATAAAATTTTACTAAAATCTTTTTGAATGGGGTAAAATTTTATTAAATTTTTCAATTTGGAAATAATGTAGAGTCTATCTCTACGGTAAAAGTCAGAATACTAGATCCAGAAGAAAAGTGTCATATGTTCCAGATTGGATTGGACCCAAGAAAAGCATAACTATTGCTGATAAGACTGAAAAGATTGGCAAAGAACTGTATTGATATATATATAAAAAAAAAAAAAAGTGAAGGAAATGGGGAGGCTTATACACACAAAGAAATTCTGTGATGTTGTATTTGAAATAGAACACTGAGAAATACTAGTCAGGCTAATAAATTCTGGAAGACAATTCCAGGATTATGTTAATCTGGGAGGTTTAAAATGTGTTTGGAGTGGCAGGCAATTAATGGGAAACTATGAAAGGCCCTAAGAGAACAAAACCTCTAACTAAGAGCACTCTGCCCTATTTGAAACTGGCTAGCTTATTCATTCCTGGAATTTGAGTTTTACGCAGTTAGAGCAGATATTATATTCTCAATTTTCACTAAAATGTCTTGGCACCATTCTTGTAAGATGAGATAACATAAGATGTTTGAACTTGATGTAGCAATTATAAGAGGAAATCTAGTCTTCAGTACTTCCTTGGGGAGTATCTCACTACAGCAACAAGAAAGTAAACAAAGAAAATGAAAATTCATTAAGAATTGCCAGTTTCTACCTCATCAGTTATTTCCACAAAAAAACAACCCGTAGGTCTTAAAAGCATAATAATAATAGTAACTCAATTCTTAATGTTATGAGAAAAATAAAAAAGGACAAGCATCTGAATCCATTTGAGTTCATTGTCACATGCCTGGATACTGAAAGTGAAGGGGATCCATACTAAATCTCCAAAAACCAACATGAATCCCAACCTCTCTGCAATGATGTCCCATCTATCAAACATAACCACCCACCAAACAGGTCAGCATTGAAAATGAAACTGATATATAGATAAAAGAATCAACAACTAGAAAATGTTGGAAGAGTCGTACATTGACTGCCATGGATGAAAATATGATTGAGGTTTATTAAGAAATAACAGCTTTTATCAGAAATTAGAAGCACAAACCCACAATTACAGAGCAGAAAACAAAAAACACATACACAGACTGCCATGGATGAAAATATGGTTGAGGTTTATTAAGAAATAAGTTTTTATCAGAAATTAGCAGCACAACCCACAATTAAAAGAGCAGAAAACAAGCAACACATACACAAGTTGGTCAAATGGACAAGGAGATCAACACATACACAAGGGACTGTGAGGGAAAGAATGTTCTGGGCAGTTTTGTAAGAAAGATTACTGGGGGCTCAACACCTACTTGGGGGTTGACAGATGTACTTAAATCTGGAAAGTTATTCTTAAATTATATTAATGAAGTTACCGTTTCCAATCAAAAAAAAAAGGAAAAAAGAAAAACAAGTTGGTCAAATGTGGTTTAACTTACAAAGTTTTGATAAAAAAAGAACTATGCCTTATACTATGTTAATCTAATAATAGATTACAAATCAAATCACCCGAAAGAAGTCATTCAAGAGGAACATTGGTATTTGTGTTCATCAGGCTTTCCAACGACGATGCAGCCAATTACACCCACGACTTTAGGATATTTATTCTGTTGAGCCATGTCAATTTAATTAAGGATAAATTGAAAGATTATATTTTGAGGAAAGGGGTGATCCAAGAGACATTTATTAAGCCTACAAGAAAGCTTGTACTTGTACATGATATGAACTTTTTAATCAGAAACAACAGATTTTTTTCTTTTTTGATAGGCAAGGTGTAATTTATTTCTATTTGACAAATGAATATGTGCAGTACATGTATGCAATGCAATCGGAACTCAGAGGCACATTCGTAATTTAAGGTATGTCCGCATGTGTAATGATTCAAAAGAAAAACCTGGGACTCCCTGAAATCCTCATGAATTGATAACCATGAGTAGAGTGTGCAAAATGCCAATTTGTTTCTTTAGAAATACCTCGATTGGAGAGTATTTCCATTAGAAAATTCTCTTTTTTTCTCCCCATATTACCCAAATGACAGCAATGGAATTATGTTCCAAAAAGGCCTTGCCTCCTTTACTTAGCCTTGTCTCAACTATATGGGATCGACTACATGAATCCTGTTTCACCATACCGTTCTGTTCAGTGATATACCCATTGTTAAATTAGGTACCCGTATTTTTTTTTCTTTTTTTTGTGTGTGATAGTTTCATTTCTTACTTCATCAAGTTAGCAAACCTAGGTATCCATCTCTGGCAATGCAAGGCACTACTGTCCAAACTCTAGTGAGACTATTAGCCATCAAATAAGCTGACCCGAATCTATCTTTATGAGATCTTTACTTTGGAAATCAGGGCTCTTTCCTCCCTAATGTGAGCCTTGGATTTTAGAGGTCATCCAAACCATCACGCATTCACCAGATAGCAGTCTGAAAATCAACCAACTCAACTTGCTGAAATCCTAGGGAATTCAATAGGGCAAAATCCCATTAAAAGCCCAAATAAACTAGAAGTATATTTTTTTGGTAATAGATAAAAAAAAAAAAATTATTAAAATGATAAATGTATATTATCACTAGCATGGTTCCTATAAACTCCCACTCTCAGGGGTTCAGGTTCCCTAGAGAGAAACTTTCGCTACTAAGCTTAAAAGTTCCTTTAAGAGGAGGAATCTGAAAACAATGGGCTGACTGTGAACCAAGGAACTCACAGAAAACTTTCCACTCTCTAACCTCAGAATCCACAACTACACATTAGAAATGGTTATCAAGTCAACAAGAGCTTCTTCCAATAGGGAAACAATGGAGAAAGTGATGAGAGAAAGTAGACTGAGGTGGTATAGTCACGTGCATAGAAGGCCATCTACAGCCCATTTGAAGAAGTGATCTGTTACAAGTTGAAGGTGCTAAAAGCCTAGAAGAGCCAATGGCAGACCGTAAAGGACTTGGGTGGAAGTAGTAGAAATGATTTAAGTGCCCATCATCTGACGATGAATATGACACTGAATAGAATCGAATGGCAAAACAGGATTCATGTATCCATATAGCTGGGAGTTGGGACAAGCTAATAATATCAGTAGAGGGGTATAGTTACATACCAAAGATGCACAAAATGATTCTAAACAGTGGTAGCATAAAGGTTCCTATCTTAATATTTCATAGGATGCACAAGCAAGTGTACACAATTCATGTCTTTTGTCTTTCCTGTTTCTTTTCTTTGATAATTAACAGTAGCATTAAATTGTCTGCCTTAATTCAGTGGAGCATATCACAAGTTCGACTGGAGAAGCATGGGAGCATTAACATTGGGATCTTTGAAGGAAGAACATGAGAAGACCCATTAGGATCAACAGATCAGACCTCACAGTCAATACCATCAAGATTTTTTTTATCAATAACAGTAACTTTTATTAACATAGATTAAAGAAGGATACAGTATAAGGGAGGGGTAAAAACATTTAACCCTCCCTAACAATAAGGATCATATTACAATACAGCCCAGAAAAGATTTGCTCTTCCCACCCCTTGTTTGGCCAAAAAATCTGCCAGAGAATTGGCACACCTTTTGGCCCACTGAACGTCAATATCATCAAGATCAAGAATGACATCTTCAAGTAGGTAGAGGGAGGAAATGACATCAATACTTTAATGATCCCCAAGACCTCTTACCAAAATCCCAAGATTTACTAAAAAGAAGGGAGGTGGATACACATGGGGTTGTGTGGTTCTAAAGCAAGAGATAGAATAGATTCTAGGGAAATATGAGTCTAAGTAATATCTCCCACAAAAGATCTACCCAAGCCCCAAACTAGTGCTTAAGATGAAACTGCACGCTGCTTTACAAAAACAAGAAATGGATTTATTTGGAGGTTACTATATGATGGTCATCTTCCTATACACTGCAATATCGCATTCAAATTCTAATTGTGCAACCAGTAAAAGTAAGACGAAAAAGCAAAGCACAAGGGCTCTAGTGCCCTGGGGCCAAGGCGCAAGGTGAGCAACTCAAATTTAAGTAATTTGAGAAGGCATTCTAAATGAATGGAGGCTGAAACCACTAGAACTAGATTATATTGCTAGATGGGAAACAGGAAATGAACTTACGTTGAGGTCATGTACTCCTCATAAAAAAAGTAATCCAGAATGTACAACTGCAAGCAAAGAATAAAAGAGGCAGTTCATTAAGTGCAGGAAACATTTTTTGTAGATAAATTAAGTGCATGTAACATTTTTGCATAAACTAAACAATTTATTGTGAGTGCATTCAAATTACCATACAGAATAGCTGATAAAGGATCATAGATGTGCTCAAACTGCCACTTTGAATGCTTTTAGCTAGAACTGAAAGATTGATTAGCAGCCATCCCATCATTCCAGCTCTAACAAAGAAAAATCTACAATAAAAGCAACAAAATAAATTAAGAATAGCTGTTCCTTTCAGAAGATGGCTCCTTTAATTGTTTTTTATGGCCAAATGTAGCTTTCAAGGATAGCATGTTACAATGAGCTATTAGCATAGGTAAGACCATCCACAATGAGCTATTAGACTAGCTAACTATGGCTACCATGAATTTACAAAATAAGGTTGATAGTGATTGTGAATATGTTAACCAGATAGAGAAGCAGAGACAAGCATGATGAAAAGCTCATCAAAACAACTGGTTGCAATGTCAATAACCTCACAGCTAGTGACATTTAGATCCACAATTCATGATATAATGACAGTTCAAAATGTTACTAAAAAGCATTTCAAACACCAAATTGTCAACAGTAGGAAAGCAATCAAAAGGATTAACATTTTGCAAATGAAACCATTCTTTAACAGAATAGGAACACCACAGCAATTGTGAAGATAAATATTTCAGAAATATACAATGCAGGTCCTATCTGACAAAGATAGAACTTGACACCAATCTTCTCAATGGATAGCATACAAAATAATGTTTAGGCCATTGACCAATGTTGGTCCCGCCTATCTGAGGTCTTGGAAGGGGCAACTTGATTCTGAATACGGACTCTTCAGCACTCTAGCACAAAGTGGCCACTTGTAGACTCAAAATTGCATACCACATCTATCAGCGTGAGATTTTACCAATATATCAAGCAATGGACCCAACGAAATAATGGCATGAGTTTAAAAAATATTAAAATTTATACAAGTTACTGTGAACCTTTTTACTGAATAAAAAAGTAACAGGCAGTGCTTCATGGTTAACAGCATTGAACAGGTGGTAAAGATTCTAACAAAATTGAATATAGAAGGAAAATGACCAAAAAGTTGAATGCTGGATCACATACTTGAGATCAATTCCCATAAACTGAGGATTCAGCTGTATTCCAAACCACCTACCAGATGACACAGCAATTACAATAGTCAAGACAATGTAGCAAATAGTAATATAGTGTAGCTTGTACCTAAAGACGTAACCATGGAAGAATTATCACCAAGGAAATTTAGTAGAGGCACCAGTAAACTTCTTTATACAGATGTGCAAACCAGAGAGGAAGAAAAGCAAAAAGAACAGAGTTGTGGGGCCAGGATGGGAGGTTCCAGTAATGTGCTATTAATTTATTAATTGATAACCTCCAGTTGTAACATGCAATGACAAGTAGCAAGTGTGTTGTACATCTTCTCATGTACCACCTCTTTTTCTAATGAAATTCTGTTACTTTTTCTCAAAAAAATTATCAGAGGCTTATTAACCTCATATAACTCGATAGAAGCATAATTTAGTCATGGGAAAAAAAGGAATTTAAAGATTTTTAAACATCATATCAGCACTTCCTGTCAACCCAACAAATGGAAGAAGGGTGCACTCACTGCTTTCTTTGAAACATAAAGGGAGGTTTTAGCAGAGATCGAAGTACAAGGGAGGTTTGAGTACTTATCCGAAACCAAAGGGAAGGTTTAAGTAACACTCTATAACTGTATCTAACTACAAAGTACTAGAAATTCATTCAGAATGTTTGATACCATATGCCTGTACAATTTCAGCTTTCCATTTTAACAAAAAGTTCCTACAAGTTGCCTGAATCTTGAAACATAGGGCATTTATTGAAACAGAAGGCCTTCTTATATGTACCAATCGTGAATTATATTTCCAGTGATATGTGGCTTTAAAGAGGAACCTTGATCATGAGAATTGCGACCAGCAACATAAAGTGCCAAAGTCACCTGACAAAGGAAAGAAAAATCAGAAGAATAGGAAATATTAAAGGCTATGAAATATCATTAAGTGTTGAGAGTATCTGCATGATCCGAAACTGCAATCACTAATTAAAATACTGGGATTAAGACACATTTTTAGTACATGTTGAATAGTAGAATGTTGAGACACAAATAAAGGGAATACAAGTGTACAAGAAAAGGCCACGTCAGCCTTTAAGTAATGTAACTGACAGCCAACCACTAGAACAAACTAAA